GTGCTACGTCTTTGGTGCTGGGATCAATTTAATTTTTTTTACAATTTTCTGAATTAGCGCGTGCAGTGTGAGCGTGGGATTCTGCCATGTGACGTAGGGGTGTATTTTGCAAATGTGTGGCCTGCTGAATTTATTGCGGTGGCTTGGCGAGAGTAAACTTAGCTGAGATTTGACGCCCTCTTCGCCTTCTCTGGTGATTTGCGTCGACCGATTTTCTTGTGACATGCACCAACTGGTGCAACAATAAGTTTTACTAAAGTATACATAAGTACATCTATTCCTGGGAGCGGTGCCAGCATCACTGTAGTGAAGGTGGTGAGTGTGACTCTTTTCTGTGAAAAGTACATTGTGACCTGTGCGCAACACTGCTGCTCAATGACAAACCCTTGTATGCCAACTTACGGTATGAACTTTGCAGGCGAGACGCTCACAATGAATGAGATTTTTTAGCTTTTTTTTTGCTCAGCATGACAACATTCAGAAAATGGCCCAATGAAAGTATTGGGGACACCGTTGTCACTAGCGGTCGCGGGGTAATTGGGATCCAAATTGCACGAACTTGATTCGCTTCAGTTTAAACCTTAGGGTATTGCATCCGATGCTCTACTGATTGCAGAAAAATCCCATTATCTCGTACATTCCTAGGCTAAGTAGGAATTCGGCATTCTTAAACATCGCGTCCCCCTTGAGCTCGTATTAGTGTGCGCCCTTTTCGCATCCCCACTACATATAACTGTGAAATATTGGTGTCTTTACAGGCCTTCGATCTCGCCGATGGACGCTCCATGCAAACCCGCATAGCCTTCCACGTCCAGCCTAGGCCTCTTGGGAAGGGGGGGGGGGGGCAAGGCTATCCTGTCCTGCTGCCGGGACGTTCATCGGCAAGGATTCACCTTCTGGTTTCTGCCTCTTGCTTCGCCGTATTGGGAATGCATCATGCAAAGAACGTATCACTGTGGCGAGGAGTCGGTGTCGTTCTACTGGAATCACTAACGGGCGTTTGAAGAGTGTGTGACTGACTACCTCTCGTTGTGCCCCGCGTGACGTGCCAGCGATCTCTGGATCCACCATGGGCTACCAGCTGCCCATGAAAGACTGTGGAATACTTTCACGCTGGTGATATATTGCCTAATCATGTACTGATCTGTTTAAAGGCTATTAAGGCTTACAGAATCTATCGCACCCCAAAATGGCACGATGTTCAGATGCCATTAAGTTGATCCTGTTTTTAGTGTCTGTCGAATATGCTGGACCCATATCATTAATTAAATAATGCAAGTGTAACATATGGTGTCATGATTTCCCCTAGTGCTCGCAGTTTCACCACCATATGAAACATGCAGCGAAACACAGTGACCGATCTGCACATTTGTTAGCCATGATAGCCCTTCATACACACTGTGGAATGTAGTGACATGCTGATGTTCTCTTGATTTTCAACTGCATGTAAAGCCGGGCAACTTGTAACAAGTTCATCAATCAATCTGTGTGGCAGGGGGGCTTCATTTTTCCGTGTGTGTGTGTTTTTGCATTTGTTTGTTGTCCATATACAGTGGCACGCTCTTCTATTCACAACTAAACTTGGTGTTCTTTTGGTGTGGTGTTGAGGCTAGTTGTGTGGACGCGCTCGGAAGGTTCTTGTTGGTCCAGTTAAGGTGAAGCATCACGAAACGTTACGTGTGGGAAGTCGAGTCTTCGCTTTCGGAGAACCTGTTCACTTCGGGCGTCCTGGTTGGAGCGCCTCGGCAGCTCTGGATTTGGCCCAATACTAACACTAGGCCGTGCACCTGCTTACGATCTACAACTTCATCTAAGTACCAGTTACGTCCGTCAGTCTGTTTTTGGTGATACTTTATGATTTACAAGTCTGTATTCAACTTCAAATGCCTAGGTCTTCGCTTCACTTTGTCGGTTATCACGTAAGAGCATAAAAAAAAGTGCCGCCACATCCACGAAATGAATGATGATGAGTGGGCGAAGCTCCGGAGGTAAACCTGGTAAACCATGAATCCTCCGTACATTTTGCCCACTCGATTTTATTGCAACGCTCCCCCTAGCGTACGTCGCCGCACTATATCGAACGATGACACGCGCCATATGTGGCATCATTTCTATTTTATAACACCTCGCATCTTTCATAATCAACTACACGTATCGCCGTCTAGTTTATAACATCTTGCATCTTTTGGATGGATGGATGGATGGATGGATGGACGGACGGACGGACGGACGGACGGATATGGCTGTACCCTTTAGATCGGGCGGTGGCTAGCGTAATACTTAATGCCGTCAGCTACAAGTACCGCCATCTAGTGAACACTGCAAGAACTGAATGAGAGGTGGCTACATACAGGGGACGCACAGCCCACGCCTTAAGGAGCTTCGCTCCTAAAACGAACAATGTGGCTGCAGGAGCATGCCAAGGCGGGCCGTAATCGACGCAACCAAGAACTTGCAGTGTAATGGGAGTCTGTTTGGCCCGTAATGCTCGATTTCTTTTGTCTGTTACTGCAGTGTTCTTCTATATGCTTTTGTAGAACACGAGTGCAGGGACCAGGAAATCAGCACAGTATGGCAGTGAAGATGCGCGCTGTACTTCTCGAGTGAAGACTGTACGATTCTCGGGGAAGTTGTAGAGTGTTGATAGTTGATCAGGTAATCGATAGTATGTTAGTGCACTTTGAATGTTGAGTGCACTTTGAATGTTAGAGCACTTTGAATAGTGCACTTTGTATGTTAGTGCACTTTGAATGTTAGTGCACTTTGAATGTTGGTTTCCTCTACATTAGCGCCCTATTCTTTTGCATCAAGTTTCATGGGTGCCCCGTGTTTCTGTAGGTAAGACAAATGTATGCCTTGAATATGAAAAATGCCACAAAATGAGGTAACACTAGACGGTGAACAATCCACACCTCTACATACTGCACAAGCGTATTGGGAGCAATGCCTTCCCCAAGCTATGGAGATGAACTGCGGCGACCCCCTGCTCCTCGACCAGATGTTGCATCAAAGTGTCCCGAAGACACCTAGCGACATCACGCCGTGGAGCTGGGCGGAGCCGCTTATACCAATGGCGATGAAGTGGGCTGAACTGGTCGGCGACGAGATTGTCACCAGCACATCCTGGTCTGATCACTGTCCGGTTCGCAATGTGCGAATCGACAGACAGGTCAGGGCTGGGCTGGTTGGAGTCCAGTTGTTTCGGACTTAGTAAGGTGCTAAATTTTAATTAAAACGTTTATTAGTGTTACGTCATTCAGTGAAATAAAAAATGTGAAATATTGAGGTTTGCGTGGAATTACTAGGTTCTTTGCTGCTCTACAGTACGTTGTTCTTTTCTGCTAGTATTGCTCGACATTTACCAAGTAGTTTTGGGACTCCGCAATATGTGTATTTCTTCTTTTGTTTGGCTAACACTTGTAGATGTCTTCCTGAGGGATTGGTGGGTTTTCTAAAGTTTCGAGTTTAAAATTTTTTTCTGTGAGATTTTCGAAAAAGTACCTGTGGAGTGCAAAAAGAAAACTTTATTTTGCCTTATGTTTTTCTTGTGTAGTTATAAAAGGGAAAAGAAGAAAAAAAGTGAGCCCCTAACTGTGTGCATCTCGTGCGACACGTCAACAGCTGCTCACAAGGGATGCGGGATAAGGAGGCATTAAAAGTATAGGAATAAAAGTACAGGAATATAGGAATATAGTATAGTAATATATATATATATATATATATATATATATATATATATATATATATATATATATATATATATATATAAAGAACACAAGCGAGTACACGTACGAAAGAGCAATACTTTTATGCCAACGTTTCAGCCGTGGCACGGCCTTCGTCAGGGACGAAGGCCGTGCAAAATGCCGTGGCACGGCCTTCGTCATTCCCTGACGAAGGCCGTGCCACGGCTGAAACGTTGGCATAAAAGTATTGCTCTTTCGTACGTGTACTCGCTTGTGTTCTTTATACGTACCAGACCCCTTGAACTTCCTGCTGAATATATATATATATATATATATATATATATATACCAGGGACAGGGAGCGACGGAAGTAAAGAGAAGATAGGAGAGATGAACCTGGTCATAGGAGTCCGAGGACGGGGCACCACTGGCGAGAGCTCTTGTCGGCAACAGGAGATGGCGTAGGACCAACCCAGTCGGCCAGAGCTGCACTGTCGTCGGAGATCACGAGGGCACAACTGGTCGGCACGGAATACAGCGAGCGAGTCCGCCTTATGTGACGTCGTGTTTCCAGTGCCGCTTTATCGGGCTATATAAAGTGGAGGCCCAAGCAGCAGTGTTTTAAAAAGGGTTTAGAGATGCACGTGCAGCCGGGAACCAAGACATTCTTCTTTAAACTGCATTCGGGCAGTCTGAAGTTCTTTACCATTTTGTCTCAAAAGGGCCTTAAAAATGATTTATAAGCATTCGAAACAAGCTCAAAAATTTCAAAATTGCCAAAGGCTGTAGTCGTGCCATTTTTTCTCGAAATTATGCCGAATGTAAATGATTTAAAATGAGACAAAACACCGAAAAGGCGAAAAATAGAAGCTCCCCGAAGGCTATAAAGTCGTCCTTTTGTCTTAAAATGGCCCTAAATCTGAATTATCAGCATTCCATGCAACCTAGAAAAGGTGAAATTAGCCTTTCGATTTTTTTTTCAAAGATTGGGCGCCAACGCTCGGACACGTCAATTCACCATTTAGTATTGAAGAATGTCCTGCATAAATTACACAACTTTTACACCGTCTTATCATACCGTGGCAGAATAGCAGAGTCGGTAAGATAGTAAGCTCTAACCCGAAAGGTCGCTGGTTCAAATGCCGGTGACAGTAGGGTGGAAAAAAAACAAGGCGATGCGGTGAATGGCGCTAATACGCCTAAGCTTGTTGTTTGTTTTTATATTTGACCTGCAAAACATTGTGCAGAGCAAGTTCTAATTTGTGTATCCTGTATTGAGGCAGTAGCCCTTGGATTCCACTTCGGGCCGCGATAGCGAGCGGACGCGTTTGGAATGGGCTCCGTCGGAGCGGTATCAGCGGCCGTTTCTGGCCGCGGAAACAGGGTGATAGCTGCCTCGGATAACGAGTATCGCGTTGTTCTGCCTAGTCTGCCTTCAGGACGTCTGGTTTTGAATACTGTTTTTGTGCACGCGGATGTGAGGGCACGGCCCTACCGTGTAGAAGACTTCAGGGATACGCTGAGTGATTTGAAACTGCTCTCCGAGGTTACGGCCTTGGGGGCGTATCAAATGAATCACGTTTGGGCCGTCACGTTCAAATGTGCCGAAGGTGCGAAGAGGCTGCTGGAAAAAGCGGAAGTGAAAGTGAAGGGCCAGCGTTGCCTCCTCATCGATCCATCGAACCAGGAGCTTCGGTTGAAGCTGCACTGGCTCCTGCCTACCGTACCGGACGACGACGTGCGAGCGGCCTTCCTGAACTATGGCAGAGTGACGGACATTATCAAGGAACGGTGGAAGGTCAGTGGTGTGACTGACAAGGCGTCAACGACGCGAAATGTGACGATGACACTTAAGGCGGGAGTCAAGCCAGAAGATTTACCCCATCAAATAAGGATTGCTGGTGAGCTGGCTCTTGTGGTGGTGCCGGGAAGGGCACCGCTATGCCTTCGTTGCCAGTGCACTGGACACATTCGTCGGGACTGTAAGGTACCACGGTGCACGTTGTGTCATCGCTTTGGACACAACGAGTCGGAATGCGTGCGTACCTACGCCAGTGTTGCAGGGCCCGTGGGAAGCGACGACACTTCGGAGCTCCTAATGGACGAAGCAGATTCCGAGGCAGCAGCGAGAGTGGAGGCAGAAAGTGCCACGATGGACAGCGTGCCAGCTGAGCAAATCTCGGGTGAGAGTGCTCACGTAAAGTCGACGAACCTCAAAGCCGAAGATACATTGTTGGTGAAAAATGATTCCTCGGAAGCACTGCAGACGCAGGAGGACAAAAGCAACGTGACAGAAGAGGTCAACAGGGAAGTAGTGGAGGAAATGGACATTTCCAAGGAGGGCACCACGACGAATAAGCGATCACACGAAGGCGCCGAGGGAGAGAGCGAATCTACCGACCCAAGCAGTCGCGATGAACCTCCAGCAAAAGCAACCCCTGTACGTCGACCGACAGTGCGGCCACGGCCGAACATCCCACAGGATCGGAGGCTGACGGCGACGACGAAGCCGCCGCCACCGCCCCCGGTCACGTAGCAGTAAGCTGTGTAAGCCCCGACCTATGTCGCGGGCCCCAAGGTCTTGTGTAGACAGGAGCATAAGCCCATACTCTGGGTCTCTATTATTAATTATTCAAATGGCGCTGCCAGATAAATCCTTGCGATTTGCTACAATCAATGTTCGAGGGCTTGCGGCGAGGAGAAAACAACGACAGTTGTATAGACTGGTGATCGAACATGATTTAGACATCATTGCCATACAAGAAACCAAAATTGGAAGTGAAGATGAGACCAAGAGTATGGTGCTACCTTTCATGTCAATGTACTACGCGGGTGTGAGTCACGCCATAGGGCAATCCGCGGGGTGCGTTCTTTTTGTGCGCCAACACCCAGGCCTTGAAGTGAGGGGCGTGAGGTCAGATTTGGCGGGGCGCATGGTTTTGTGTGATTTTCGTTATGGTTCAGTTGAATGGCGAGTGATATGCCTTTATGCTCCTAATTTGCTCGACGAACGAAGACATTTCTTCGAGAGTGTCAGAAATTACTGCAACGTCGAAAGGAACCTGGTACTGATGGGGGACTTTAATTGTGTACTGGCAGCGCGTGATAAATCAAGTGGTACAGCGTATAGAGACGCCAGCACGGCTGAGCTTCGCGAATTAATTGATGAATACGGGCTTGAGGACGTGGCGGACTGCTTGGAGTGCGACCGCATTGTGCGCTTCACGCATTTCCAAGCAGCCAGCCACGCCCGACTGGACAGAGTGTATGTTCCGGCTGAATTGATAGCACTTGCGCAAGAATATCGTGTGCAATCGGTGTCATTCAGTGACCACTGTCTAGTCATGTTCGATGTTAATAAGAAAGCGAAAAACCGAAATAAGTTTGCGTGGGAATTATGGAAACTTAATGCTAAAATTTTGGAGGATGAGGTTTACTGTGAGAAAGTGTTAGCCCTGCTAGAAGAGATAAAGAACCAGACAAACACAACAATATGTGAGAAATGGGAAACATTTAAGCAAACAGCTAAATTGAAGGCACTTGAACGAGCCAGCGCTTTAAAGCACGAAAAGAATAAGTACGAGGAAAACCTGCGGCAAAGCTTGCAAATGCTAACTTATGAAGAAAGCCTATCGCCTGGGACGTTCAAAGACGACATTAACACACTGAAGCAAAAACTTGAGCAGGCTGATATCGAACGCTATCGGGGGGCGTTGGTGCGAGCTAGAGTAGAAGCAACGATAACAGGCGAGGCGCCAACTAAACGAGCCCTCGCAAAGGAAAAAAAGTGGGCCCGCCGGAACGAGATTCACGAAGTGGAACAAGACGGTGTTATCTTATATGATCAGAGCGGCATCGAACACGTGTTCACAGCGTTCTACAGAAAGCTGTTCGCGCGTTGCCCGGTGGACGCAGAGGGTTTCGAGACGGAATTCATGCCTTTAATGCCAAAGATTGACGATAGCTCAAAGGAAATGTTAGAGCGCCGTATTACGGCCGATGAGATTGCGGTGGCGATAGACGATTTGAAACGTGGGAAATCTCCCGGGCCCGACGGGCTAGGAGCCGATTTTTATAAGGCGTTCAAGTACGAAGTAGCCCCTATACTGGCCGCAATTTTAGACGATGCATATGAGCGCAAACGACTACCACCTTCATTCCTGTCCACACACACAGTTCTTATCCCGAAAACAGATGATCGCGACACATTAAAGCGGGTAACAGCATATCGCCCTATCAGCTTAGCGAACGTCGACTATAAGATATTCATGAAAGTGTTGGCTAAAAGACTGCAAACAGTAGTGAAAGATATAGTTGGACCACACCAGACGTGCGGTATCAAGGAACGAACCATTTTCACGAACATTCATACGGCGAGAAGCATACTAGAGTGTTGTGACGTATTGTGCAAGAAGGTCGCAATGCTCCAGTTGGATCTGGAAAAGGCGTTCGACCGGGTACCGCACGACATACTATTTGCCATTCTGGAGTACGTGAACGTAGGATCTGTTATCATGGAAGGTGTCGCAATGGCGTACAGGGGTTGCACGACAAGGTTGATAATAAATAAGTCAGTAGGAGAGCTTATCGAAGTGCAGCGGTCGGTGCGCCAGGGGTGCCCACTATCGCCGTTACTTTTCGCTTTATATATTGAGCCCTTGTGCCTCAGCGTAATACGGGCTAACTGTATCAATGGCTTTAAAATGCAGCAAGCGGAGGTAAAACTACTCGCTTATGCGGACGACATCGCGGTGTTTTGTGGGGACCACGCCAGTATCATGAAAACTGTGGAAATTGTGAAGCGTTATTGTGTTACTAGTGGCAGTGCAGTTAACTGGGGCAAGAGCCTCGGAATCTGGCATGGAGCATGGACAATGAAACCCAGTACCTTTGCCAACATTCAATGGATTTCCACTCCCACGAAATACCTAGGCGTTCCTTTAGAGTTTTACCGGGACAGTGAACCATACTGGCAGAACCAAGTTGCGGAAATGCGTGGAAGGACTGAGAGGACAAAGGGCTCGGAATTGTCTATGTTTGCACGTACCACGGTGTGTAATGTGTTTTTCATTACTAAACTTTGGTATGTGTTGAGTGTTTTGCACTGCTCACGCATTAACATACAAAAGCTCCACAGAATTCTGGCTGTTTTTGTTTGGGGATCGAGTTGGGAGAGGACAAGCCGCACCAACTTGTTCCGACGTGTACGTCATGGAGGTCTTAGCCTGTCGCACTTATTCCTGAGGCAAATAGTGAACCGGTTCTGCTTCCTTAGGGATGTGAAGGACCCCTTTTTGCGCACTGTATTACAGCTCAGACTTTGCAAACTTGTGCCGGACTTTGTGGTATCCACCGAATGTATTGAAGGCGGGGTTTTCGGTTTTTTGAAGGAGGTTGTGATGGCTTATAAGTTCTTGCGTGCTCGATTCTCATGCGAATATCTGGCGGGAGTGAAACGAAGGAAGCTATACAAAGATCTTGTGGATATACTACTCCCCGTGCCTTTGTATCGCACAATATATAGTGCCAAGTCTGGAAGTGATGTCCTGAAGCGTGTCAAACATATGTATGTAGCTCCAGGAGCCAAGTCCTTTTTCTTCAGATTGCACACCGGGACACTAGAGGTAAAAACATGGCTACAGGAAAAAGGAATGTATGTACCATGGGGAGTGCACTGTTTTTTATGCAGAAAGCCTGAAACCATTGAGCACGTCTTCTTAGAATGCTGGGAAGGCGTGTTCTTCTGGGATATATTACAAAGAACGCTAAAGAAAGACCTCCCTTTAGACCCACAAGGAATTCGTTTCCTAACTGTGGACAACGAAGAAGGTGTCCCGTTTGATGCTGTTATGCTACTGGGTTTGCACTGCATATGGAAGGCCTGCATGGCCGCACGACATGTAGATATAGATGCAAGATCGGCACAAGAGTACTTCCGCGAATCAGTGGGCAGGTTCCTGGAAGCACATAAATCTTTAGATCCGATACCTGAATGGGTATCGAGGATCGAGCCACTCATGAACATGAGACGATTTTAGCCATTACACGCCAGCCAAAGTTTGGTGTCTCCTTTTACCCATGCCCATTTATGTATCTATGTCTTATGTGCCTTGCATTATTACTTGTGTTCCCTGACTGTATTTGTGTTTCTATGTGTACGTCTAAGCAGGCAATAAAGAAAAAAAAAGAAAAGAGGCAGTAGCCCAGTGCATATGGTGTTCAGCTCATAACCAAAAGGTTGATGGTTCGAAATACAGAGCGGGAAGTGCCGGAACACCAGGATATCATCCAGATACATAAGTATCAGCCCTGAAATGTGCGCAATGCAGCACACTAAAAGTGACATACGGATTGTTACTCTGCAGTTGTGGCTTACACGCCTGAAAAAAAAATCTATCAAATAAAATGATGCTTTAATTTTTCTTGAAAAAAAAAGCATTTTTTTTTTTGCCGAAGTAGGGGCTATTATGCTACCTCTGTGGTGAGAGCTTCAGTGACAAATAATCTGAGTCAATTTCGTGAATGCGGCAAATCTAGAAAAAATAAAGTTTTAAATCCTTTAAAGAATACTTTTACGCAATCCGGCCAGCAGCGGGATTTGAACCACTGCCCATCCAATTGTGAAACAGGCACTTTACCACTCGGCTACTGCCGCGGTTCGCTAACACGGTTCAGAAATAACTCTGCACATTACGCAGCTGCAGTTTCTGTGTGCGTTGGCCCACACAATGTTTTCTGGCGTCCGTCAACACAGATGCAAGTTTTTCAGAGATTCTAATGTGGCCAATTTCTCTCAATATAACCCTAAAATTGATTTATAAGCATCCGGCGCAACCTCAAAAATTTTAAATTTCTAAAGACCATAGCCTTGACATTTTCTTTCAGAATCATGCCGAATACAATATTTTTAAAACGCGTCAAAACGTCAAAAAAACGAATTATAGCGGCGCTTCAAAGGCTATAAAGTCGTGATTTTGTCTCAAAAGTACCCTAAAAATGATTTATAAGCATTTGAGGCAACCTTGAAAAATCAAAAATTTCCAAAGGCTATAGTGTTGCCATTTCTTCTGAAAATCATGGCTAATATATTTATTTAAAACGCGTCAAAAGGTCAAGAAATGAGAATATAGAAGTTCTACGAAGGCTACAGAGTCGTCATTTTGTCTCAAAAGGGCCCTGAAAATGATTTATAAGCATTCAAAGCAAGCTCAAAAATTTCAAAATTACCAAAGGCTATAGTCTTGCCATTTTTTCTCAAAATGATGCGGAAAATAAATGATTTAAAACGCCTCAAAACGTCAATAAATCGAAATATAGAAGCTCACCGAAGGCTATAACGTCATTATTTTGTCTCAAAAGGGCCTTAAAATGATTTATCAGCGTCAATATATCGATATCAGCGTCAATAAATCGAAAGCCTAAATGGTGAAATTAGGCTTTCGATTTTTTCTCAAATATCGTGCGACAAGGCTTCAAGATAAAATTTCACCATTTAATATTTAAAAATGGGCTGCATAAGGTGTACAGACTTTTACACCACCTTATCACGCCGTGGCAGAATAGCCGAGTCGGTAAGGTGGTAAGCTCTAAACGGAAAGGTCACTGGTTCAAATCCCGTTGCCAGTAGGGTGGAAAAAAAAACAAGGCGATGCAGTGAATGGCGCTAATACGCCTAAGCTTGTTGTTTGTTTTTATATTTGACCTGCAAAACATTGTGCAGAGCAAGTTCTAATTTGTGTATCCTGTGTCGAGGCAGTAGCCCAGTGAATATGGTGTTCAGCTCATAACCGAAAGGTTGATGGTTCGAAATACAGAGCGGAAAGTGCCGGAACACCAGGATATCATCCAGATACATAAGTATCAACCCTGAAATGCGCGCAATACCGCACGCCAAAAGTTAAATACGGATTGGTACTCTGCAGTTGTGGCTTACACGCCTGAAAAAAAAATCTGCTATCAAATAAAATGATGCTTTTATTTTTCTTGAAAAAAGTATTTTTTTTTTTTTTGCAAAAGTAGGGGCCACGAGCTACGGCGGCTCTGGACTTGCCGAAGGTCCAGGGTACCCAATAGCCGCCATGTAGCTCAAGCAACCCCCCCGAGCATGACAAGCCTCACCGTGCCGTAGCACAACTGCGAAGCGCTCGCGTTAACCCCGAGAAATCCCCAGGGCGAGGGGTGTTCCACTGTGGATTGAGCCAGGTCCGGGTAACACATCCCTCTTGCCTTTGAATCCGGTGGCTTTCCGGTCGGTAACCGGTACGGCATTGAACCCGGCACCTCCCACATTGGAAGCAGACGCTCATACCATTATGCTACCTCTGTGGTGAGAGCTTCGGTGACAAATAATCTGAGTCAATTTCGTGAATGCGGCCAAACTCGGAAAAATAAAATTTTAAATACTTTTACGCACTGCGGCCGGCATCGGGATTTGAACCACTGCCCATCCAATTGTGAAACTGAAACATGCACTTTACCACTCGGCTACTGCCGCGGTTCGCTAACACGGTTTAGAAGTAACTCTGCACATTACGCAGCTGCAGTTTCTGAGTGCGTCGGCCCACACAATGTTTTCTGGCGTCCGTCAACACAGATGCAAGTTTTTCAGAGATTCTAAAGTGGCCAATTTCTCTCAATATAACCCTAAAATTGATTTATAAGCATCCGACGCAACCTCAAAAATTTTAAATTTCTAAAGACCGTAGCCTTGCCATTTTCTTTCAAAATCATGCCAAATACAATATTTTTAAAACGCGTCAAAACGTCAAAAAATCGAACTATAGCGGCGCTCCGAAGGCTATAAAGTCGTGATTTTGTCTCAAAAGTACCCTAAAAATGATTTATAAGCATTTGAGGCAACCTTAAAAAATCAGAAATTTCCAAAGGCTATAGTCTTGCCATTTCTTCTCAAAATTATGGCTAATATAATTTACTTAAAACGCGTCAAAAGGTCCAGAATTGGGAATAAAAAAGTTCTACGAAGGCTATAGAGTCGTCATTTTGTCTCAAAAGGGCCCTAAAAATGATTTATAAGCATTCGAAGCAAGCTCAAAAATTTAAAAATTGCCAAAGGCTATAGTCTTGCCATTTTTTCTCAAAATGATGCGGAAAATAAATGATTTAATACGCCTCAAAACGTCAATCAATCGAAATATAGAAGCTCTCCGAAAGCTATAACGTCATTATTTTGTCTCAAAAGGGTCTTAAAAATGATTTACAAGCATTCGCAGCAAGCTCAAAAATT